AGAGAAAGGAGTTGTATTCAAGGGAATTATGTTACAAAGTCTAGGCTGGGTAAGAAGGAATATAAGAACATGATAAAAAGAGAGGTAAAGGACAGTAAAAAGGTGGTAGAATCAATGGACAGTAAGTCCTGATGAGGTCTGAGAATTGTTGAGCTGGGAATGAGCTGGAAAGAAAGGTGGTGATGAGGGCCAACTAAAGTTTGAATCCTGGCTCAGTGACTTGCATGTCAGCATGTGTACATGCATGCCCAAAATCCCAACAGGATGAACTAATGGAGAAGGGATTGCAGTGTAATCACACCCACTGGAGAGGAGGGAAGTGTATGCACTCTCTCTGTCTGGCAAACACATGCCCCCTTAGCAATTAAAAAGAAAAGAAACTGTAAAAAGAACAAGTCATTATATAAAGAAATCAATTCAGCAAGAAAATGTAACAATGATAACGCATCCAAATATATAAAGCAAATATTAGATCTAAAGGGAGAAGTAGACTTCAATGTAATAATAGAGACTTCAACTTCAACAATGTAATAATCATTAAGAGACTTCAACTCCCATTCTCAGCATTAGAGAGATCATCCAGACAGAAAATCAACAAAGAAACAACCTAGTAATTTATACCACAAACCAAATGGACCTAATTGACATTTACAAAACATTCCATCCAACAGCTACAGAATATACACTATTCTTATCAGTACATTAGCACATTCTTCAGGACAGACCATATGTAAAGCCACAAAACAAGTCTCAACAAATTTTCAAAATCTATGTCAAGTAATTTTTCTGACCACAATGGAATAAAATTAGAAATGTGTAATAAGAGGAACTTTGGAAACTGTACAGATACATGGAATTAAGCAAAGTGCTCCTAAATGGGCCAATGAATAAATTTAGAAGGGAATTTTTAAATTTCTTGAAACAGGGACCAGGATATGGCATAATGGTTATGTCTCTGGACTCCCATGTGATCAACCGTGGTTCAAGTTCCAGACCTGAAGGCTTAAAACTCACGCCAAGTGTGTGTGAGTGCCCAAAATCCCAAGAGAAGAATGAAGGTGAAGGGATTGCAGCATGGCCATCCCCTCTGGAGGGTGATTTCTCATTTTCTGTCTCTCTCTTTCTTTTTGTCTGGAGAGTACATAAGCCTATAGCAAAAATCTCTCTAAAAATTTTTTTTCTTGAAACAAATGAAAATGAAAACATTCAAAAAATGTATGCAATACAGCAAATGCACACCAAGAAGGAAATTTATAACAATAAGTGGATACACAAAAAAAAGGGAAAGATTTCAATTAACCTAACAAGGCACATCAAGGAGCTCAGCAAGCACAAACCAGACCTAAAATTAGTAAAAGGAAAGAAAAAGGAAAGAGGAGAGCAGAAATAAATGAATTGAAACTTAAAAAAAATTTCAAAAGATCTATGAAACAAGTTAGGTCTTTGCTTTAAAAGAATATAGATTATAACATAGTTGAGAGATTTTTGTTAAAGATTTTAGCTCCTCATCACACATATAAAAATTAACAATGAGGACCAGCAGGTAGCATGGTGGTTAAGGCACTGGACACTCCCACATGGCTGAACATGGTCGAGTCCTGGACCTGGTGACTTGCTTTCCCACTTTCTGTCTCTCTCTCTCTCCCCCGATCAAATTAAAGTAAATGAATAAATAAATCAAATAAAATAACTTAAAAAAAGAAAAAAAGTAACAATGTAGGATAATACATATGTTAATCTATCTGTAGCTATGTTTATCTGTTTTTATGTATTTCATAATATCATTTTGTAAACCTCAAATACACACAGTAAGATTTTAAGAAAAAAGAAGAAGAACAAAAGTCAGGTCACTCAATAACCAGCAGGACAGATCTAATCTAGTCTGCTAACTCCAAGTCCAGACTACTTTCTATAATGTTGAGTTACCTGTGGATGAAAGGAGAAGGGGATGGAATTGGGATCAAGTGCCTGTTTTGTTTCCTCTTTCCCGGGTTCACTACTGATCTCATTAATCAGTAGTCATCCCATGATTCCCCAGAAAAAAAGTCTTGCTATTCGTGTGACAAGGTTAAATAAATTCAGATGTAAGAAGCTCTTCAAATTATCATCAAAATCAGTTCACAGTTTTGCAGACATACACAGGCAGTCAGAGGATGAGCCCTTGGGGAGGGGCATGCACCAGCCAACAGTCCAACAGGAATGTGTCCTTAATCGGAAAAGATTGTGGATTGATGGGTGCTTGTTTTCACTTTCTCATAAGCAAAAAGCAGATGTTTGTGTGAATACTGTAGATAGGGTTGAGCTGGTCTCCCCAGGCACTCTTAAGAAAACAGTAACTCCTAGATGGAATGCCCAGCCTGGGAGTAAATTAGGAGCTCTAAAGCCAAACACAACATATTTTAAGAAATAACTCTAGGAAATGTTGATTCCTGCTTTCAACATCCTCATCTCTGTCCAAACACTGGGCTCACAAAAAGTTCCACTTTCCTACCGTGACCCACTAATCGGAATGTGTCAATTTTTTTGGCCTGAATAAACTCACCATGTCTCTGTCCATGTCCTGGAAATTGGCCACCGGGAGGACCTACTAGGACAGAAGGAATCTCCATTTGAGTCTATGGACCAGAGCAATAGCTAGCTGGAAGGGTCCTGCTTGAAGGTGAGATGAAGACTGAGGTTCCTATAGCCAAGAGGAGCCCTCCCACTCCATTCTTCCGGCCCTTCTCCTGCTGTGCAGTGGACCCAGAGCATCACACCTGA